CCTACGACCAAGCCGGCCGGGAACCTCCACACGGCACCCGTCACCGAGCCCTGGCGGCAAGTGACACTAGATCTCGTCGGCCCGCTGCCCCGATCCACCCAGGGCCATACCTGGCTGCTAGTTATGCAGGACCGATTTTCGAAGTGGGTCGAACTTAAGCCCCTACGCCGGGCTACCGCTCCCGCCGTTACTAAGGCAATCCTCGACCGGATCGTATACCAACACGGGTGCCCCGACCAGATTATCTCCGACAACGGGACGCAATTAAAATCGGACCAACTCGAGGGAGTCTTACGGGCATTCCAGATCGAGCACCGAACTACCCCCGTGAGGGCACCCCACTGCAACCCGGTAGAGCGCACCAACCGGACACTGAAAACCATGGTCGCTCAGTATGTCGGAAAGAACCATCGGCACTGGGACGAACACCTCTCACCGCTGCAGTTCGCGTATAACACTGCCCGACACGATGCCACCGGGTACACCCCGGCGTACCTCAACCATGGATGGGAGCTCGTCTTCCCGCACCCGGAGGACCGCCGCCACGCAACAAATGCGGCCCCTCACCAGACCCGACGGCGACTGGAGGAAGCCTACGAGGTGGTACGGGTCAACCTGGCCCGAGCCTTTCAGCGGCAAGATGCCCACTACAACCTGAGGCGACGGGATTGGCGACCCCGCGTCGAAGACCTGGTTTGGAAGAGGGAATTTCCACTCTCAAAGAAAGCTACGGGCTTTAACGCCAAGCTAGCCCCCCGCTTTACCGGCCCGCTCGAGGTAAGGAAGATTATCTCGCCCGTTATAGTCGACTTGCGCGACACCCGGGGACGTTGGCATAGACACGTACACGTGCAGGACTTGAAAAGCGCGCCGAAACCTCGCGATCTGTGTCAACAACCGCGCACGTAAACACCGGCCGGAGCGTTTCGCGAACAATGGCTCGCGCCTTCCTGAGTCGGAAAAACGCGAAAAGAAGAAAAAGACCGCTACCGGTATATAAGCTCGCGTCGCGGAAGACTTTCAGTTGTTCTAGAATAGCCAGTCCGATAACATGAATACGCGCGCAAGGTTAAAAGAACTATTCGGCGATATCGACGATCTCGACGACCTGTGGGAGGAACCAGTCGATCCTGGGCCGACCACCAGTCCCAGAGACAGTCCCCGTCGCCAGGCTCCCAGGGTGGGGACCCGCATCCAGAGGGGCGACGCGGAGACTCGTCGCCGCGCGGCCATATTCCTCAAGACGGTGCCGGCACGGCCGACCCGGCGCCCACCAGCCACCCGCTTGCGAGCCAAACTGCGGCCCGCTGAACGACCACCGGACGCCAGCCGACCGCCAGCCAGACCACCCGCCGGACATTCGTCCTCGGCCCCGCTTGGCCGCCAGACCACTCGGCCGACCACCGCCCCCGCAACAACAACCTCCAGGGGGGCTACGCCGAAGCCGGCGCCCAGACAACCGCGGCCGAACATCGCCGAGGCCCGAAGACCGACGGCCCAGACCCCCGCCACCCTACCAGCGTGCGCCGCCACGACGCCCCCCATTATCTCCCTCACCACGGCCCGAACTCCTAACCGACCAGGCCCCCACGCCCTTCTGACCGCCGAGATCGCCCAGGCTTCCGCCATCTCCCCCTTCCAGGACCTGATGTGGATCCCGCTACCCACCGGAGGGAGGGTGCAAGTGCCCCGATCAGCAATCACGATCAACAGGAAGTTCCGAGTCCGCGCCGATGGAGCCCTGTGGGTATTGCGATTCGACCCACAGGGCAATCTCCGGTCGTGCCAACGTCGCTGAAGCGCTGTAGCGAGTACGCAAAATAAAAACAAACTGTTATAAGCGTAAATAAACCTGTGTATTTCCTCTCCAAACGGCGGGGGGGGGGGAATGTGACGATACGCGTATTCGTCACTAGCGCTACGGCCCTGGCGGCCACCAAGAACATGTTCAGCGTGCGCTCCTGTGCCCGAGCGGTGGGGCGGCCGAGCAGTGGGGCAGCCCCAGCGGTGGGACAGCCCCCACCGCCCGCACTCGGGGTATAAATAGGGGACTCGAGCCGACTCGAGTCACCAGTCCTGTCCGACTCCTGTTCCCGACACGACCACTCTCCGAGACCGCTTCACCACGTTGGGCGCTTTCAACGACTTCCTCCGTACCGAGAACGGGTGCTTCCGTTCTCACCTGGGCGCTCCCAGGGTACGGGCCTCCCCAGCTGGGTGCTCCCGGTTGGTATTACCTGCCTTTTCCTGCCTCTGGGTCGGGCACTACCAAACTCCCGACCCCCTCCGCCGTACGGAAGACGGGCGTTCCCGTCTTCAAGCCGGGCGCTCCCGGTGTACGGGCCGCTCAGTTGGGCGCTCCCGACTGAGCTCCTGACCGACCTACCTGCCCGCAAATTCCGCAAGGCAACCGTGCCTCCGTACTTGCCCGCAAATCCGCAAGGCAACCGTGCCTCCGTACTTGCCCGCGAATCCGTCAGGCAACCGCGCCTTCGCGCCTGTCCGCGAATCCGTCTCTGTCGACCGCGCCTCAACCCGGCACACGTACACTGCGGCTCAGCGGAGCAACACACACACACGCACTGACACTCACGCCCTTTGTATTGTAAATCGTGGGAATAAATATCTTTATGTAAACTAACCAGTGTCTCCACGTTTTCTCACCCTGGTCTGGCGAGCGAATTCCGAGCGAGAAAACGCGAACGTTACAACCGTATAAGGCCGGTATTCATAGTCCAATCTCAAGTCAACGACGATCTTGATCAAGTCTGCTTATGCAATACCAGACCGTCTGAAGATTGATAGATTTCATAGTCGTGAAATAAGATAATCTTTGCGAAGAAGTTTTCACTGAAGTGAGTCTTGTTTGATTTGAGATTAACTTAGTGAAGATGTACTTAAGACCATGCTTATTCTGTAGTCGGCTATTTCCGTGATATTTCCATTGGTTCCTCCAATGAAAACATTAGATTCAAGACGCAGTTTTACACCATTGTATTAACGTATCTAGACAGAAATAAGTTTTCTAACCTTAAACCAAAATTGTCACATAGCAGTACCAAGCAGTATTATAATTATATATAGATATATGAAAAAATATAAATTAATCGAGACATTTTACATTATTTGAAAAAATAAACTATTTCTTGATATGTTAAAGGTATAAGCATATAATAGAAGTAAAGAAAAGCAACTCTACTACTAAAAGATAAAGACGTAGCTTAGATTTGTAACGAGTTTAATCTATCACATCTAAGCACGTAAGAGGTAAGAAAATTACATAATAACATTGATTTAATACTTATTAATACTGATATTTATTGATATTTTTATAGAATAAATTCATTTATATTGCTTTTACAACAGCTTTTTCGAAGAACTTTCTGACTAATGTTTACTTCGAAATAGAACAAACATATTTGTAAAATTATTATTTTTTTTTATAAATATGTGTTGTGAATGTAATTTTTTGTAGTATGAACGTGCAGGATATAGATTTGCGAAATTTGGATAATATTCCCGATTTTTTGGACGTCGAGAGTGAAGATGAAAGAGAAGA